GGTGGCTCGCCCCCCCCACCCCCCCCGCCGGTTTAGGGCTGGCGGCAATTTCTTATGTAGTGGTGGACTATTTGCGCCACCTTTCCCCAACTTGGCACGAGCGTCTCCAGCCAGCATTATGGTCAATACTCGCTCTCATCGCCGTCTCTCGTGTCCCTTTCTACAAGCACTGGTCGTCTGAGTTTAGAGCTGCCATTCCCTTTGTTGCTTCTATGCTGTTTATGCTCACTTGCCTTCTTTTCGAGGCTCTCTCTGTGCGCTTTGTCACTGCTGTTCTCGGTCTTGATTGGCACAGGTAATTTCACAGTTGCCTTTTTCTGTTTTAATATATCCTGTGTTTTTGGTTTTTAGAAGTAATGATTTTTGGAACTAGTTTGTATTTTATTTCTGTTCTTTTCTGCTATGGTTTCTTCTGCGTCATGATAGCTGTTTACTTACTGATCTAGAAAGATATTAAATTAGCACTGGCGATCTGATCTGGATTTGACTTTGAATATCCAGTGATATAATTAATGAAGCAACTGAAACTGAATCTATATCAAGGAACATTTCCAGTATAGTAGATTCTGATTGGTGAAAGGACATAAATCTTGATTCGGATCAGCCGAAGGCCCAGGTGGATGTTAATTGATTTAGTGTAAGAATCAGAATGTACTCTGACTATGTTGTCCAGATTTTTGCCCAAAACGATGGCTGCTGTTTTTGAGGCTTAGGGAAATATGGACAACTACTCTGCGTTTAGGTCTTTATGTATTGCAATCGCAAAGATTGCCTGTTTCTATTAAATGCTTTGCATCTCCATATTTAGATCATAGAAAATTTAGATGAATTTATTGGAGAACCTTAGCAGTCCCGCGCATGGAAGCTCTAGAGAGAGTTAAGAAAGAAAACTAGTACATCTGTAAATGTTCAGAGCCTTGAAATTCACATGTGTGTTTAGTTGGGCTAGTTGATGAGCTGCAGATGGTTTTCAAGATTGTTTTCATCCTGGAAATAAATCCATTATGTACTGCTTTCTCAATGACGAGCGAATTCTGAATTTAAACTGGAGGATGTAAATGTTTGAGGTCTCTACTTCAAAATTAAGATCCATTAAATTCTCAGTGTATCCTTGCTGAACCCGTACCTGAGAGTAGGTGTAGAATTATTATTTCCCCGTGAAACATTATGTAGGCCCTGAAGAATCATAAATTTTGTATTTCTTGTAACAAACTGTGAATGTTATTTTAGTGGTTTACTCATTTCAAAATGAAGATCCCCGATAATTATACAAAGATTTAACTTGGAATGACTTGTATTTGTTGAAGTTGTGATATATCCTGCCAGTTTCCTGCCAAGACTATAGCTTTCAGCTCCTCAACTACTTAGATTTAAAACAATAGCCATAAATGTTTACGGTATTCATGGTTGGCTTGATAATGTTGAGCAGTGATACATCTCCTCTACCTGACACCGGCCAGTGGTTGCTCCTTTCACTGAATGAAAAGCTTCCGGAGACATTGGTTGAGATTCTAAGAGCTCGTATTATTGGACTGCATCATTTCCTGATGTTGTTTATGATGCTGGCTTTCTCCGTGCTATTTGACTCCGTAGAAGCTCCTGGACTTGGTCTTGGTGCAAGATACATGTTCACTATGGCAATTGGCCGTCTTCTTCGGGCTATAACTTTTGTGTCTACAATTCTACCATCAGCCCGGCCTTGGTGTGCTGCAGCTCGGTTTAGAGTCCCTGCATACCCTCATCACTGGGCTCAGAAATATTATGTTCCGTATGCTTCAGATGCAAATGCTATTCGTCAGATAATAAATCAGGATATAGCTTATGGTATGTTTATATTGAGATTGAATTGCAGTATTTGTTTGGTTTCCTGAATTTGGTGTTCTGATGGTTTTATCAGACTCTGGAAGGCATTTTAATAGTTCTTCTAGCCATCACGAAGCTTACAAACTCTTATGGAACTATTTGGAAAACATAAATCTTTGTTACATTCTATTTGAATGCACTGCTCTGTTCACCGAGTGGGTGAATCGCCTTGTTCATATTCTTCAAGTCATTATAGCTCATAACCGTAAATTATTTTCTTGTGAATGTCAAAGGGGATTCATTTCAAGCTGCTTTTACCATAATGAGATGTTTATATTGTTTTTTTGGTGTGCCACTGGCACTAAACAAATGGTTATGTAGTTTCTTTGATAAGAAGATTTAAAAGTTCTGACTAACTCAATCTGATTGATTTAATTCTTCTAGATGGTCTTTTAGTGTAGACAAAGTTCCTAGGCCTGTTCACTACCAGAGGGATTTCATAACTAATAAATATGTAGTTGCTGTATGAACTGTGCTTTATTTGATTACTAGGCAGTCGCAAATTATGGCAGATGTGCACTTCTGAAAAACACTTTTAAATGGAAATTTTTGTTGACGTTTTCTTTCTTTTCATTTTTCCAGCTGATACTGGGGAATACCTTGGTGATTACCAGCCAGATTGGGGTTCCATGAACTTCCTCATAAATTTCCTACGACCCACGCCTGCAGAAGGAGCATCATGGTATAGTCTTCTGAAGAAAGCTGGAGGTGGCTGCAATGACCTCCTATACAGTGGCCATATGCTTGTTGCCGTGCTGACAGCTATGGCTTGGACGGTAATCTTTTACTATAAACTTTGAAACTGTTTTGTCCCATCATCTAATGAAATTGCTCTGAAGTTTGAACTCAATTTTTTTGGCATATGATTGTAGGAAGCTTATGGAGGCTGTAGCTCAGCTTTCATATGGCTGCTTGTGATGCACAGTGCCCAGAGAGAAATTCGGGAACGCCACCATTACACAGTAGACTGTGTGGTGGCCATTTATGTAGGCATCCTTCTCTGGAAGATGACTGGTTTTATCTGGCCAGCCAAGGATTCAATGAGAAGTAGAAGACTTGCAAAACTTGAGAGAATTCAAAGTAGACTAATCCAAGCAGCAAAAGACTCGGACATGGACGAAGTGAGGGAGCTTCTCAAGGAGGTTGAGTTGGGCTCTCAGGAGAGCCAGAACAAAGGCCACAGTAAGCATTTGTGGTTGTTATTATTATTATTGCTATTATTATTATTATGTCTACTACTACTACTACTACTATTATTA